AAATAAACTGTAAAGTATTAGAAATTACTTTAAATACTTCAATGAAAAATAAGTTTATATCTAAAAAATAATGATAAGTTTCGTCAGAATAAAAATAAAAATGCAAAATGCAAAAAATAAAAACAAAGTTTTTAAGACAAAAATTTTTTAATTTTTTAAATTTTATTTCAATACACATTTGTATCATCAGCAAAAATTACTGTATTCAAGTTTGAGCAATTGTGCAGATCATTAACATAAATGAGAAAAAGCAGTGGCCCTAGTATAGACCCTTGGGGAACACCACATGTTATATCTAGTAAACTTATTAAGGAGGATACGTCAATTTGTACAAACTGGTTACAATTGCTTAGATTTCCACTGATTCCATAGTTTTTAAATTTTTGTATAAGAACCTCATGATCTATCGTATCAAAGGCTTTTGATAGATCAATAAAAACTCTTATATTTTAACTTTTATATTTAAACATAAAAATAAGAAACTGATATAAGTTAAATTTTTCAAAGTATTTCTAAATATATGTCATTTTTATTGGAGGGATTATCCATATATTTTGATAATGAGTTGCTCTTCAAATAAGGTTTTGCACGTCTTGTACATGGTAAAGGTATTACAATCCTTTTTGAAAAATATAGAAGACAAAAATGATTAAGAGTTCAACAACAATACGACGCTGTGAGCAATGACGTATACCACAAATGTAAAAACTTACTAAGGAAAAGGTAGAGGAACGAGTACCTAAAATCATTACGTGAAAATCGCCAGCAAAAAGAATATGATCAAAGGGACAAATCTCAAAGGAGAAGAAAAAAATCGAGGCGAGTGGAAAATTGGTATAGTTTAAAATTAAACTTATACGTAGGGATGATAATATAATTCACGGTGCTAAATTAAAGACGGCAAATAATCAAATAGTGGAGAGACCTATTCAGAAGAGAGACCTACATCCTTTCCCTAGCAACGCCCTAGCAACATGTAAATGCCCTGAAAAATGTATCAGAATACTATTTTTGAAACATTTTTATGGCTATACTTTAAAGCTATAAAGTGACTATTAGCTATACTTCAAAAACTAAAACACTTTTTTAAGTTAAAAGTATAAGCATGACGTCTGTCTGGTGATATGAATTGCTTTTTGAAGGCAAATTTTTTTGTTTGTTTTGAAGTCTGTTATTTGAATTTTTTATTATTTAGATTTTCGTCAGTAAAAATGATTTCAACAAAACAAAATTTGCAAAGAAAAAAGAAAAAAATTAATTATAATTTTAAATCATAATTGTCATATAAACCATACTAAATCTTCTGGTGCAATGGAAGCTGCCGGTGCTATTCAAATTTTTACACGTTCTATCCAAAAAAACAATATAATTTATTCCCAATATTTAGGAGAGGGAGATACTTCTTCTTTTAAAGAAGTTGTTTAATCTAATCTTTGCAAAGAGAACAGAGTTAACATTGAGAAATTAGAGTGTATTGGGCATGTACAAAAGCGACTTGGTACTAGAGTTCGAAATTTAGTGAAAAACTTTATAGGGACAAAAACTCCAATTCATGGTAAAGGGAAACTTACAGATACTATTATAAAAATACTATCTAAAAATGGTATGGATTTATGAACTGAAATTTCCAGGGCATTTTTATAAGACATTGATAAATCATTTCTCATAGGATTTTGTTTTATATTGAGAAAATTTCCAATTTATATGAATTTTAGTATTTATTTAAGTGACTACATAAATAAACTCTGAAACATTTTGCATAACTTTGGAGTTATCGAGGCAAATCAAAAAATTCTATGACAAATGAAAATGTTATATATAACAAACATTTCTGCAAAATTTCAAAGCGGTAGAGTTATTAATATAGTGAGATATTATGTTTTCAAATACACCCCATTATTTGAAGTTTAACAAATTTATTTTTGGATAATCAAGGGAAAAAAAAGTTTTTGAATGATTTTTTTTTTTAATTTTTTGTAATAGAGTTAAGTTTTACTACAAAATATCAATAAATAGCTCGAACTCAAAAAATAAATTATTTCTAGGGTTACCACCTTCACAAATAACGAGGAAAAGATCATCTCAAAAGGCATAATCGACGGCTGAAGAACTTTTAATAATAACTGCTCTTAACGAACATTTTGAATAAAATTTGTAGATACAATATATTATTTACTTCTAAAAGTTATGCAATGATTATAAGCAAAGACGTTTATTACGGTAATTACTATAAGTGGCAATTAGTAATGTATTTTTATTTACTGATAATTGCCACTTTTTGTATAAATAGGTTTGTTTATATTAAAAATATAATAGCGATGGAGTTGATCTAACTTACTAAGTTGACAACAAAAAAAAGTTTTACTCCTCAACTGTTTGATTATTTTTGTTTTGAGTCTATAATAGGGTTGTTAACCGGAGGATTTCGTGCAATTCCGGAAAAACAACATTCTTTCGAAAGGAGATTGAGAACGAGGAATTACATTTTTTCGTACCGAATGTTACAAAACATTTAAAATCGCCGATGTTCATTTAATGAAAAAAAAAAAAGCAAAAGCTACTTCCGAAATTTAGCATTTCGCAAGTTGACTTACGAAGCAAAACTATTTTGCAACATACGAAAGTAGCGGTTTCGGAAGTCGCACTTGCGAAACAAACATTTTCGCCAAACGATGTTTTGAAGTCTATAAAGAAAATTTGTTTGGGAGACTGATTTCAATTGTAAAAATTAACATCTTTAAATCCCAAAATGTTTATAATGAATTTTTATTTTCAGTATAATAACATATTAAATTTTTATGGTTTTATTTTTAGAAATATTGATAAATATTTCTAAAAATAAAACCATAAAAATTTAATAAAAATAAAATTTCTTTCGAAACGAAAGTATTTTGCATCACAACATACGAAAGAGTTCTTAACGGAAATATACTTACGAAACGTGCCATAATAATTATATATAACGATGTTTTTTGAACTCATTACGTATAGTAAGAATAAGAATGATGGGTAGGAATATACATGTTTTTTTTTTTTAGAGCATATGAAATTTTTGAAACAGGTTCAAATATACTTAATCAAATAGTAAAAAAAGGCTCAAAAGTATGCTTAAGCTTGAGCATATTTCTAATAAAATTTACCTATTTCAATAATTTCTAAAAGTGTGCACGTTACTTAAGGTTAATGGGTATAAGAAAAATAAAAAGTTTACTTATGCTCTGCATTTTTGTTTTGGTTTTAATGTAGGTGAATTTATGTTGTTATAAACCTCGGTTTTTGTTGGTTTAAATTTAGAAGTTTATATATTTAAAATTTTTAATTAAATAAAAATAAATATCTTGTGCTTTTTGTACTAGACATCTGTCCTAAACACTTTGTAATAATTTCTAGCTAACTCTGAGTCTAATATAATCTTTTCTTCTTCTTCCCTGAGGCTCCTACAGCCTATTGTGTTTCATTAAATGTAACTAGTTTTCGAGTCCAGTTATGAATTATAAGCATCTAAAGGTTCACATTACTATTCATTTTCCTGATTTATAGAATCCTATTTGCATACGTATCTCTTTCTGTAAATTCTGTTTTATATAGTTTCTTAATTATATAATAAATAAATATTACTGTTCGACTAATCAAATGAACGTATAGCTCATTCAGTTCAGACATGACATTTTAGCCGCGGAGACCAAGGTTCGCATTCCCTTGTATCACATATACTTCTTCTCTTTTTACTCTTTCTTGATATCATTTACCTTTAGAGAGATCTCTTGTTCTTTATAATATAGTATTTAATTGTTTATCACACATCCCCTTTATACTTTCTAAAAAGAAAGACATACTATTTATCTGTTCATTGAGAGTCCAACTTAACGGGATTTTACTGTATATATATGTATATATATATATATATATATATATATATATATATATATATATATATATATATATATATATATATATATATATATATATATATATATATATATATATATATTTGCGTCTTTTTCGTAACAGCACATTCCGGAATGCTACTTCCGTAAGGAACTATTTCCTAAGTATTCTTACGAAATGATTTGTTTCGCGAGTTTTCTTTCGCAATGCTTTATTACGGAATTTTATTTATTTATATTTTCGTATAGTGCGTTACGGAATGTGCATTTTCGCATGTGCAACTTCCGCAATAACAATTCTATTACGGTAGATAAAGATGCGAAATTTTCGCAAGTGTTGTTTTTCGGCGAACAACCCTAGTCTATAAGCCCACATTATATTAGCATATGTGTAATGACAATGAATCAGATTAAAAAAAAGTTATATCTTGAACATAAATCAAGAAATGAACGAGTTCTATAAAAAATACCTATTGCAGATGATATTTTTCAAACTACTACTTCCAAATATTTATGATGTCGAAAGAAACAATCACTTATTTGAGACTAATCTCATACTAAATTCAGTAACATGCAAAACTTGCGTTTAGTCAATCCATTAGTTTACTTAATCTGTACAGATAGCAGATAATAATAATATATCATGCTACATGTATAAACAAATCGAAGAGAATAAAAAGGTGTCTTTATTTTTTTATTCCTTAACTTGAGTCCAAGCTACGTGTTTGCAATCCTTGTTCAATCAACATTTTGAATTAAGCAGCTCAAAAGATTTTATTTTGTAATATCTAAAAAACTAGTAAAATACACATTAACACTACTACTACTTATTATTATTATATATATATGTATATATATAGATATATATGTGTGTGTGTTAAATTTGATAAAGAAGGCGGCGTATAAACTTTTTTTGACTAGCGGTCAGCATCACACCTGATGATGCTGACCGCTATAGGTCAGCGAAATATTTTGTTAATCATATTTTGGTATACGATGACACACGCACACACACACACATATATATAAGGGTCTTAGGGTACTTCTTAAAATATTTTTTGTTCCAAAAATTTTTGACTTCAGTGATATTTTATTATATAAAACACATTTAGAGCTCAGACAGAAATTTTTAAAAAATTGTTGCACCGTAACGAGCATAATTAAATAAACAGAGTATATAATAGTAACAACAGAGTATATAATAGTTTATACAATTAAAAAAAGCAAGTTAAATAATTTTTTAGTGAAAAAAGTTTAATCCAACAAAAAATTTTGTCACCTACCGATTATCTTGACAGAAATGAAGATCAAATAAAAAAAAAAGAAAAAACATTTGTTTAAAAAAAAGTATTTACATATATATGTATATATAATTCAATAAGGACTTTTAAGAACCCAAAAAATACAATTTTTGCTGGTTTTATATTTTCAAAACTTATAAAAATATAGAAAATGTGACTGCACCAAACAATATTTGACATTTGATAACTCGATAAATATTTTAAATGCCCATGATATAAAGGAAAGCACTTTTCCATAAAATAGGATATATGCTAGTAATGCAATCCTGAAATAATGCAACTATTTGGTTATACTATATTCATCTCGTTTTTATTTTCTGTGTCAGCAGGAGATGATTTATTTTGACGATTAGCATATTCAGTTTCGCGCCTTTCTGCATCTTCCTCTTCTTCTTCCTAAACAAAAATAAAAAGTTTTTAAATCAAAAGATTAATTAAAATAGTTTATAAAAAACAATTTTTAAATGTAAAACTAGTTAAAAAAAAAAAAGCTTAAAGTTTGAAAAGAAAAGAAAAGATTTAAAAAGAAAGGTTTAGAATGTAAAAAAAAAATAATTCGCAAAATAAATAGATTGTAACAAGTTTGAATAATACAGAGGATTTCAGCAATAGATGTCATCCAGTGGCAGTTTTAAAAACTAGTAAATTGCAATTGAGATTATAAAATTGTAACTAAAAAATATAAATGCAAAAATACTTTATATAAAAGATGTTCCAAGTCTAATCCCACCACATCCCTGGTAGTAATGTGCTCATTTTGTAACTCTGCACAGCGGCATTTTGTTTGTTAATGATTATGTTTTGTAGTAAAAGAGTTGAGAAAGGAAACATCAAACAAATAAAAGAGAAGAAAAAAAAAGTAGTCTTCTCAACTGTGGCAGCCCCCTGGGCCTCCACAAAACAAAAAAGAGGAAACATTTTTTGCAAAATACACAGAGAAGCTGTTTTTTAAACTCAGCTGAAATGTGGTAATAACTGGAAAGACCCAGGCAGGTGCCATTAAAATATGACAATAAAAAATTTTTTAAACTTAATTGAAAATTTAGCAAATCAATTAAGTAGTTAAACAGGTGACCCAGAGACCACACAATGAATATAATGAAACAAATTAGTTATTTAAACATAAATTGTTGGTTTAAAAAATATGAGATTGAAATTAAGTTTAAAGAAAATTAAGATCACTACAATGTTTTGTTAAACACCAACTTGAATGTCTTCATTTAAATACCAACTTGAGTTTCTTCATTTAAACACCAATATGAATGTCTTCATTTAAACAACAACTTCAATGTCTTCATTTAAACATCAGCTTGAATGTCTTCATTTAAAATTATTGCAAAATGAGTAGTTCTGTTTGGTGCAGTACATACATAACCACTTTCCACACTTGTATTTTTTGTCACAAGAACAACATATTCTAAATATTGCACCAAATACCCACCACCAAATACAGGTGGAATGCTATACGCATTTTGAGTGTTACTTTTAATTTTGGATCAGATTGTCTCCACTGGATTTAACATTGGACTGTAGGGTTTTAAATATATAAATTAGAATGGTATATTTTCAAACACTTTCCAAACAGAAATGACAATAAGCTTTGTCTGCAGCCATAACTAAATCCAATAAACAATACTTGGATGTTACTGATAAAACATAACTAACACCCACTTATTAAACTTAATAAATTAATGGTGTATAATGGGTCATAATGTATAGAAATATAACACAATAATATCATACAAAAAGTATGCTATAATACACTCACCATTCCGAATGGTAAGTATATTATACCTTTTCTAATATTAAGCTTATATTGAGCATTCATAATTACAATTGACAAATTATCAATTAATTATTACTTTTGCATTTATGTGTTGTGTTTAAAAAGATATAGTATATTCAAAGGGCAAATTAACTCAGATTTAACAAAGCAAAAAATTTATAGCAACAAAAATAGCAAAGTTCACAACTATTATATTTTAAATATTTTTGGTATAAAAGCAGGTATTAATCTAGCTAATACAAATACAGGATAAAAATACTTATTGTAATATGCTAAAATTAAAAAAAGTTAAAATGAGATAAATAAAAGCTTGTTAGTACTTTAATTAACTTCAAAATTGTATATAAACAAACAAACTTAAAAGACATTTCTTGAAGATGTTTGCAGTCAAATCATGCTATTTTCGATAGCGTTGCCCGAAATACAGACAGCGCTATCGAAAACGGCTATTCTAGACCGTTTTCGATAGCGTTGCCCGTATTTCGGCACCAATTTGAGCAACACCCAAATTCATAAATTGAAAAAAATGCCTACATGCAGCAATATTTCTGCCAAACTTCCTTACAACAGGCGCTGGCACGGGGGGTACCACCACCCAAATTTTTTTTCTAGAATAGCCCCTGACATGTTAACTTTAAACAGAGATGTTGAGTCTCAAAAGGACTTCAGTTTTATATCACTGTTTTTTCATGGCCTCTGGTGTCCAGAAACTCTAAAAATATGGGTAGACATTGTCTGCAATAAGAAAAAAATTCATGAAATTTAATAACTTGGAATCTATTATTTTTTAGCCTGGAGTAATGGAGTTCTTGCCGTCATTATAAATAAGGACTCCAGGTTTAAAAATTGATTGTTCATCTGACCTAAAATCTTTTATTTTTCCCTTTCTAAAAGTAGTTCATAAGCTTATTTACATTTTTGGAGATCCAAGATACCAAAAACTGAAAAGAAATAATCTTTTTTTGAATTCAAAATCTGGAGTCCTTTTTGGTACTTTGCATCCCTAATTTTAAAATTAGCTTTGCCTGACAGAAAATAAACAAAAATAATATTGGTCTGACGAGGCTATTTTGAATCAACATCGTTTTCAAACATGATGAAAACATTTTTTAGTTAAACTTTTACCCAAGAATATAATTATTAGCAATCACGATTGCTTCAAACACTATATTTTCAAGATCCCTTAATGGCTTGGCTAATCATAATTCACAATCATTTGTTCCTTGATATTAGTTATCTTTTTTATTTTACTATTTATTTTCAATACTAAAGAATAAAAGCTCTTTTCTTATCTATTTAAGCTGAAGACCTTATTAGAACAGCATTTAATGGCCATTTTGTTGGTTTACAAATAGAATTTAGTCTATATAACAAGATTATTTGAAAGATTTATGTATAATCCTAGAAATAAATTTAAAATAATATTTCCCATTAAAATATATTGTCGAAATCATGTGTGTAACAATACTATCCTTAAATTTAAATTGTATCATAAATGATACTCTACATGAAAAGGGATTAACAAATCCAACTTTTTGTCATCAACTGTTTTTAAGACCAGTTAAAAAATGCATTTGTCTCAAAACATGTTTTGCATGAAATTATCAAAACAAAATGTTCTAAGGAAAATATTTATAATAACCATACAAAACAAAAAAACTTTTATAGAAAGAGTGGGAAAATTTTTTTCTTTATTCGAATATTGTGCCATATTTTGGAATAACTTCTCTTCAACATTTTGAGTGTGATAACATTTTGAAAATAACTTATTTATGCGTAAACTTTTATGTAAAAATATAATTTAAAATTTATTTTGAAAATTACTATTTTAAAAATATGAAAAATATCTTTAAACTTCATAGACTATAAAATTCAAGGATATTTCATATAATTTTTCTGTTGGTTTTTATATTTTTAGTGTTAAATTAAACTTCTCCTTATAAAGATGCACACTCTTTTTCTTGATTCTCTCAGAGAGTAGTTCATTAATCCAATGAAAACAGCTAAGGCCATCATCTCTATAGAATCCAAGGGAAAAAGTTTGAAAACTTAAATAATTTTTTTTTCCCTTAAATGATAGACTGCCTGCCCAAACCAAAACCCTCAGTCGATGTAGCAGTATTCCCTTGCGAGTCAGGCTATTTGTAAGGCGATGTAGCAGCACTTAAATGCGAGCCAGATAGTTGATGTAGCAACACTCCAATGCGAGTCAGGCTATAAGATAGTGGATCTAGCAACTATATATATATATATATACATATATACAATATATATATATATGTGTGTGTGTGCGTGTGTGTGTGTATATATACATATACATATATATATACATATATATATATATATATATATATATATATATATATATATATATATATATATATATATATATATATATATATATATATATATATATATATATATATATATATATATATATATATATATATATATATATATATATATATATATATATATATATATATATATATATATATATATATAGTATAGATTATTAAAAGTTTGAAATGTACTAAATTAAAAGGACACTACAAAACTACATTTTACTTTTTTTTTTTTAATTTAAGATTCTTTACCTCTTGCTTTAACCTATAATATTCAGCAATAGCATATTGATATTTTGGTGAAGTAATTCCAAATAAGTCAGCAAGCTTTTCACCACAAAATTCTGCTGCTAAATATTTATAAAAATAACAATAAATAAAAAAACAATAAAAAAGATGTTTAAAAAAATATTTCTGATTATTAAAAAAACAAAACAAAAATAGATATAATTTTCACCATGGAATGTTGACTTTGAAGCACAAACAATATAATACCAAACCCACATTAGCCAATTTAGATCTGCCTTAAATAAAAGTAAACAAATGCTTATTAACCAAATACACTAGTTAAAACATGCTTTTCTAGTAAGCAAAGAAAGAGGACCTACTCTTCTTATAACATACAATGCATAGAGAGGGAGTAGGGAGACCTTAATTTAACCTGTACAGACCTGAGTTTAACTTTTTTATTCAATGTTTATTATTTTATTTGTTTTTAATTGTTATTAATTGTTATTTGAAAAAATTCAGCTAGTTTAACTTAATAAAACTTTGGTGAAATGTTTATTCAACTTGTGTTTTTATATTCTAATTATTTAATCAAAAAAAAAAAACAATTTTTTAATAAAAAAAAACTAGCTGAATATTTAGTGCCCCAACAAAATATGTCTCCATAACTACTACCATATACTACCACCAATTTTAGCATAAATAAAAATTATTTTATAGAAAAAAACTGCTTAGATACTAAAGTATTTTTTAATTTTTTAAAATATCTTAATTTATAAAAAAAAAAATATGATGATGTTGCCATTGAATTTTAGCTCTATAAAGATTAGTTTCTAACTAGCAAATGACTAGATTGCCTATACATAAAGTTTTTATAGCAGAAACTGCAGTTTCATTTGCATTCCAGAATTGCAGAATGTAAATGTGACTGGATCTTTTGCTAATGTGGCATATAAACATAATGTATAATACATAGTTAAGATAAATTTATAATTATATATAAATATTTATATAGTTATTTATAAAATGCAGCATATAAACATAAAGTATAATATATAGTTAAGATAAGTCTATAATTATATGTATTCGTTTAGCTTAATTATGGTGTGTTTATGCACGGATTCTCATTGCCCTTCTCTTTTTTTCTCTTTAAAATTTTTTTCAAACTACTTGAACTAAATATTCAGAGCCGGTGGCACATTTAGAAGGGTTGATTTATTCGATAAAATTTAAAAGCTTTAGCCTAGAGCTGTTAACTTTTATCGAATAAATCAACCCTTCTAAATATGCAATCCTTCTACGTTTCAAATTAACCTAAAGTTTAGGTTAATTTGAAACATAAAAGGAAAGTTTTGTTTGTGGTTGTTTATTTAAACAAAAAAAGAAAAAAGAAAAGAAAAGTTAGCATAATAATGAGCAGCAACAATTATCTAATAATAATAATAATAGTATTCAGGTTCTCTAACTAAAGTTTAAAAAAAAATGTTTACTCTAATATACTTGTAACGACATTTATTTTTTGATAATGACAAAGTCATTTTGAAATTAATAGATTTTTATTAATGATTTTTATCAAAATACAATATTTCTTAACAAAAACAAAAACTAAAATTATGTTCGTAGTTGTTTTAGTTATTATGCTATAGGTTAAACAGCTTTACAGTGTGGTAAAGCTGTTTAACCTTTTGCATAATGACTGTCCAACCATAAACTTTTAAAATAAATAGAAAAATAACTTCAAACTGAGTTACATATTTACAGGATTAACTTTAGCTGGCGGTTCAATATTTTTTTCTTCATCAGATGAGCTTGTTTCTGGTTCTCCCACAAAATCACTTCGGAAATAAACCTTTTTTCGAGACTTTTTTAATTTTTTCTTTCTATTCTCATTGTCATTTTTTGAATCATCTTCTGTATCTGCCATGCTTCCATCCAAATTTTCATCTAAAATTATTTCCCTAAATTTTGCATCGGTTTTTTCTTCCATTCCATTTATATAGTTTTAATTTAATTTGAAAAAGTAGTTATGTAATACAGCTTATCAAATTTATTTTTGTAGTTAGCTAACAACTTAAACAAACATATAAATAAATTATATAAATCTTTATTTAATATAAATAAGAATAATGTAAATCGATAAATAAAATATTCGCTTGGTAAGTTAAAAAATATCCCCAAAACAGTTACACATTATTTGGTCTATCTAATGTCTCGGTCTGGATTAATCAGATGCGATTACTGTCTTTTTATTATCTCTAGGGTTTATTTAACGTTTAAAAACTGAATTGACGTCAAAAGATTGACAAGTGATGAAAAAGTACTATAAATAAAAACTTTAGCGTGGAAAACGTAAAAAGTTACTTGCGGTCACATATATTAACACCTTCGGTTTACTACGAGTGTGACAAGATGTTGAGAAATTTTAAAATCGTAATACTAATATAAGTAACGTTTCTAATAGTGCGTATTCCCAGTTCTTAAAAATGAATTACTTTTTGATTTTGTACCTACATTTATTTTGTGTTCCTAAATTTATTTGGCAAGTTATGCATTTTTGAGTGAACTTTTGAGGAATATATATGCAGAAAGCAAAAATGACTAATAGTAATAACCCAGCTTATACGACTCAAAATAGTTAATAAGATTAACAGTTAAAAAATAGTTAAAACAGCTGATAGTAGAGTTACAAGATGATGTACTTACTGAACAAGTCATATTCAGAAAGTATATCAACATCGGTCGAAGATTTATTGTATAATCTAAACGGTCACAAAAACGGTTTTTTACAATCGTGCAACTTTATTTGGTAAACTCATAATGAAATTATCTTTTGTTGTTAAAACAAGAGAGACAGTAGTAGTTTTTTCCCTGTAAAAACTAGTTTGGCGACAATAATTAAGAGATATACAAAAGCTTTAACGACCAGTAACATTAGCTTGCATACTTAAGAAGGCAAGTAAGTATAACTTTTTAAATTTTAATAATTGTCAAAAAAAAAAGCATCAATAGGTATATTCTTCAGTGCTCAAATGTGTTAATCTGTAGTCTAATTTCTGATTTTCAAAAATTGCAAAAAATAGCAATATTGATTTTCAACCGACAGTTTTTCTATTGATTGAATCAAAACATTGAAAATTTTTGAAATTAAAAAATTGAAATGAAAAAATGTGACAAACCTCAAGAATTTCCTTAAAATGTGTTTTTATGTTTTTCTCACTTGTTCGTTAATTTTACTAATAGTTTTAAGGTTCTTACAAAGAAACTATAATTTTGAATATCGTATATTTTGAACATAATTCTGCCCGACGGGCATTTGTTTTTAAAAGTTACGATCTAAATGTATTTTAAATGTCTTTTAAACGTCTTTTAAACATTAATGTTTAAAAGACGTTTAAAAGACGTTTAAAACACATTTAGAACGTAACTTTTATAAACAAATGCCCGTCGGGTGATTGAAATCTAAACGTTGGTTATATGATAATTTTTTAACAAAAAGATAAAAAAGAAAATAATTCTTAATGTAAGCCAAAAAAAAGTGAATAAATTATTACTTAACATTTAAATAAGACATCTTTATTTGAGAACATCATACAACACTGGTCAAAAAAAAACTTTTGTTTCCAGTCATTTTTTTGTCTGTTTCTGTATCCATTTAACAAGCACATTTCTCTAACAACTTTTGTCTTTAAGTTATACGAAACAATCTTCATTTACTTTTTTTTTTGGACATTAAAATATATTTAATCGTTGCTTCGTCAAGATATTGTTGTGTGTATTAATTTAGATTGCTTTAGCTAAATTTGTGGCAAATATGTACTTGAAAAAAATCAAAAACCTATATTGGACTTTGTTAAAACTGTCTATCATCCAAACTTTAAAACAAAATTGTGTAATCAGGACTATCCATGTCGGAATTTGTTATAAAATCAATTACACAGTAAATAATTGTTGCAATTTAAAGGAAGATATGCAGCACAACTAGGTGTTTAAAAATTAATAAAATGCTTGCATGACAAGTTAACCACAGATGGACTTACAAGCACTAAATATATAACCTAAATATCTGGCTGGATAGCAAAGAGTGATTATTGTTAATGGCTCAATCAAGTTTTTACAACAAAAAACATTTTGTAAATGAAGGTCCACAATTTTAATTTTTTAATGGTTACGTCAAAAGCCATTAATATTTGTTGCACAACTAATATTATGCTGATACAACTTTCGGATCGTCTAAAAATTTGAAACCATTAGAAATAAAGTCTGCTATCTTAACCGCATTTAGGAAAAAATTACTTGAAGCATACTAAAAATAAAAATATTTTTCATAAAACAATGTTTAAGAGTTTCACACATTTTTCCACTCAGCAATAACACCATAAGTTTATATAAATGAGCATATATACAATCTTTTAATTTTTTTTTACTACTCTCGTATCAGCTGTGTCAGGCTTGCCAGCTCTAATTATAACGAGACCATCAACCATATTTTTTTCATTATTACCACATTATTTTCATTGCCAATACAACGTTAAATAATTTTTGACACTTTCAAGAGTTTGCAATCCAAAGTTTAAAAAGCTACAAAAGACTTATTAAAAGAGGATAACTTGATCTTGGAAAATCCGACAAAGATAAAAACAATCTGAAATTAACTTTCAAACTTGCAATATATATTATATTTAAATGCAATATATATACATATATATATATATATATATATATATATATATATATATATATATATATATATATATATATATATATATATATACATAAATACATATATGTAAATAAATAAATATATATATATATATATATATTGGAATATATATATATATATATATATATATATATATATATATATATATATATATATATATATATACATATTGGAATATATATATATATATATTGGAATATATATAGCCTTTTGTAACAATTTATGTATATATATATATATACACGTATATATGGGCCTATGGTACGGGTTTCGAAGTGGAGGGGCACAAATGTCAAATTTAAAAAAAAGTACTCTATATCTAGAATTTTCTTTTTTTTAAAAAAAAAAAAAAGGTCCTCTTGAAAAAAATTGGGGAAAAAAAAGTTGATTTCAAACTGCTATTATTTTTGTTGGAATTGCAAGGTTAAACAAGATTAAAACTGTTTGATAGATTTCTAATTTCAACAAAAAATATTATTGCGTTCCAAAGATATGACAATTTAAATTAAATATACAAAACATTATAAAATCATCTATAAAACAAGGTGTAAATTTACACCTAACATTAAAATAGGGCAATATTCATATATAACTGGCTGTCATGACCCGTACGATACGGGTCGTGGAAAGTCTGTTCCACACCTGACTATTTTTTAATTTGTTCGTAATTTAGTCTTTATACTTTAATTTATCTTCGTAAACGGCAAAAAATCTATTTAAAGTTCTGGTGGTAGATAAAATGCGAACTTTTCAACGAACTATGTATATATTGGATGTTAAATTATAATTAATTTAAAAGAAATAGTCTAATTAAAAAAAAAAACATTGTTTCATTATTGTATATCGTTGAGTAAATGGTATGAAGATTATCAAGCTTCGTTTTAGCGTTTTGATTACAAATCAAAATTAAGAACATTTCTTAAATTCTGCTATGTAGGAACTATCAAAATCAGTCATAGGAGAATGAATTCGACCTAAAAATGGAACAAAATTATTATTGAATACGCTTAATACACATTAATTTGTTATGTAGTCTATTTATTTATTTGAAAACTTAAAAATGTGACTATACAGATAACAAATAAGAAACTTACTTTGTGAGATTGTTTTTCTTTTGTGAAAGTTTCAAGATTTATTGTTGCAAGTTTAAATTAACAACTTCTTTTAAAAAAGATCACAATAAGATAAACTTTAGTTTTTATTTGAAAACTGAATTCTTAGGTTTTAGTGAATGATTATATGTAGTCAGTTTCAATAATGAAACTACTTAATAATCATTTTAAACTAAAGACCCCGACGTGAAAGTAAACCAAGTCATGTATCAACACAAAACAACACAACAATAACATCACAAAATCAACAAATGACATAACATATTACAGTAAACTCTAAATTACTTAAAACTTAAAGGAACCGAAAAATTAGCTTGTTAGAGAATGTTAGAGTTATTGGGAGTATAATCCATAAATAAAGGCTCAAATGAAATTTTAAAATTAGTTTAAGTTAAGGATTATTGAATTACCCAGAGTTTATTATTCATATTTTAACTATTAACAGCACACACATAGAATCACTATATAAACAAAATATAAACCCATATAGCCTCATATAATGCATAATAAAAACAAGCATTACCACATCATATGAACATAAAAATACTTGTCAAAAACTATAATTTAATAACATTTTAAAACTATAATTTAATAACATAATTTAAAAACTATAAATTAATAACATTTGCAAATAATTATATTTGCAAATTTATTAATTTATAGTTTTTAAATTATGTTATTAAATTATAGTTTTAAAATTTGTGAAATTTTCATTCAATGACATACCTTGTTTATGCATGTGTATATGCAAATGTTATGCAGGTGTTATGCAAATGACTTGGTTTTAGAATATGCTACATAGAATTGATTGTATGAAAACCAAGGCTTTTTTAGACTAATAGCAACTTTATCAAGTGTTTGATAATTTATATAATTATTTAATATTTTCTTATTTAAATATATATATATATATATATATATATATATATATATATATATATATATATATATATATATATATATATATATATATATATATATATATATATATATATATATATATATATATATAATTATTTTGCGGGAAGATACTAATTACAAAAAATCTAATATTAAAAAAATAATAAAAAAAAACAAATAACTAATGTAATGAGTCAAGTATAGTGAGTACAACAACTTTCTTATTGTAGCAGAAGAAGCTGTAGCTACATAAAAAAAAAAATTAAAATTACAATAAAACCAAGTGTAAGTTTAAATAACTATTAAATAAAAGTAAAACAACTAACTTATTGTATTCACTTAAACTTGACTCATT